CTGAACACGGTATAGCTCTCATTTAGATAATCTTTAATTCCTCTAAGCAGTGTTTTATAATCTTAGTATACAGGTGAAATATTTTTGATGTTAGAAATGGTATTGCTTGTGATGCCACGCACCTGTAATGCCAGTGCCTGGGAGGCTGAAAACAGGAGGATCGCTACCAGTTAGTTTGTGTAGTGAGACCCTGAGGCCCTGTACTGAATACATTGAATGAATGACTGAATGAATGAATGAAAGAAAGAAAGAGGTATTGCTAGGGCTGGGGAGATAATTTAGTGGTTTAAGAGCCTGCCTGGCAAGTACAAGGTTTTGAGTTCAATCCCCGGTACCAAAAGACAGTCAAAGGTACACAGAAATGGTATTGTTTTTTATATATTTATTTATTTTCCATTTTTGTCTTTCTGAGATGGTCTTAGTTCAGGCTGGCCTTGAACTTACTTTGTCGCTCAGGCTGGTCTTGAACTTGCAGCGATCCTCCTCCTCAGCCTCCCAAGTGCTTGGGTTACAGGCATGCACCGTTATAGCCAGCTTTAATTTTCATTTTTCTAAGTCTTCATTGTTAGTATATAAAATGCATTGGGGTTGTATAATTGACTTCATTTCTAACTCCTGTGTATGTTTGTGTGTGGTATGGGGATTGAATCTGTGGCCTCCATGGTGAGCTACATTTGAGACAGGGTCTCTAAGTCACTGAGCTGCCCAGGCCGCACTTGAACTTGGGATATTACTGCCTCTGCTTCCCAGCATGCTGAGATTGCAGGTGTGTTTTATCATGTGTGGCTTTCAAATTTATTTTTTCTGTAATTTTTTTTTTTTTTGGTAGAATTCTTAGATTTTTTTTTTTTTTTTTTGCGGAACCGGGGATTGGACTCGGGCCCTTGCGCTTACCAGGGAAATGCTTATTACACTGAGCCATCTCCCAAGCTGTAGAATTTTTTAATGTACACAATTATGTTGCCAGTGAATAAAGTTTTTACACTTTCCTTTCTGTCTGTTTGCCTATAATTTCTTCCTTCCTTTTCACATGGACCAGGATCTTTGCAGTAATGTGAAAAGGAGGGACTAAGCATTCTTTCTTTTTTATTTATTTATTTATTTATTTATTTATTGCAGTACTGGGGATTGAACTTAGGCCCTTGCACTTGCCGGGCAAGCACTTATTCTACTGAGATATCTCCCTGGCCCCCTACTTTGTTCTTGTTAGAAAAAAACATTTGTTTTTCACCACTTAGCATCATGCTAGTTGTAAACTTTATTTTATGTATTTGGTACAGCGTCTTACTGTGCAGCGCGGACTTGTGTTGAGCCTCCTGTTTTCAGGCACCAGGCCCTGCGGGTCTCGGTGGCTGGCTCAGAGCGCAGGGTCAGCGTGGCATGTGGTGCTGGGCACGGAACCCCAGTCCCTGTGCTTGCCTAAGGCTAGCTGCACCATCTCCCCGGCCCGAGTTGTAAAGTTGTGTACTTAACTTCATCAGGTTGAGGAAGTTTCCTTTTGTTCCTGCTTTGCCAAGAATTTTTTAAAATCACAAATTGATACTGAATTTTATGATGTACTTTTTCTTCATTTATCAAGATGACTTTCTCATTTACTTAATGAAGTAAGTTAAGTTTTTCTAATTCTATAGAATAGTTCTTCAGATTGAAACAATCTTTTGCATACATTGATTCATTATGGAATGTTAAACCAGTCTCATTCCTGAGATGAATCCTGTTTAGTCATGGTACGTTAGATTCTTAGCCATTCTGGACATAAGTATGAATAAAAGATGTCACAGAAGGGGTCAGGCGGGGGATGTAGTTCAGTGGCACAAATGCCTGCCTGGCAAATTCAAGATTCTGAGCTCCTGGTACCAAAAAAAAAAAGATGGGATCATGAGGAAAAAAATACACATTAAAGAAATGGGAAGAGTTTTGGATATATGTAACCAAAACATAATACTTACTTGAAGGATTGGAAATTTTGAAGGAATTACTGGAATGTAAACAGAAGTGAAAAAACTATAAAACTAAGAGGGTAAATCTAAAAGTACACCATCAGGAATTCTGTAAAATGAAAATGGAGAAAATGGTGGTGATAAAAAATATTTCCTAGCACTGAAAAACATCTCCACACTCTTCCACACTAAAAACACAGGTGAGGTGCAGCTAGCCAAGAGGTTTGCTAGTTAGATTGCAGCAGGAGAACACAGGCCCCTGAGAAGGCCATTTCCAAGGGAAAATTAGAATTGATGAGGATAGGGAAGAACGTCGAAAAGGCAGCTGGCAAAGACATAAGAGCATGTGGAAGAAGTTAGTACAGAACGAAGCCGAAGCCTCATCTGTGTTCCGCAGACTGGCCAAGTAGAACACTGCGATTGTGGGGGTTGAAGTGTTGCTTGTGGAGAACCAAAATTATTTTGGGCCATCTAAGGTCTTTGAGAAAATACCCTTTAATGTTGTTACTCTTGTTTAAGAGATTTGAGACAGGATCTTCTTGAACTCACATGTACTCCAGGCTGGGCCTGAATGTGGCAGTCCTCCTGCCTTAGCCTTCCAAGTGCTGGGCTGCAGGCATGCGCCCCATGCTTCGCTGAAAAAACAGCTTTTTATTTGCTTGTTTGTTTGTTTACCTATTTATGTACGTAATTGCACTAGGGATCTAACCCAGGGCCTTCACATGCTAGGCAGAAGCTCTGCCACTAAGCTAGCTACATTTCTAGCCTTGCCATTTACTTCTAATCTTTGTATCTGACCTTAACACTCTTTTTTTTTTTTTTTTTTTTTGCAGAACCAGGGATTGAACTCAGGCCCCCCTTGTGCTTGTCAGGGAAGCGCTTACTCCACTGAGCCAGCTCCCCTGCGGCCCCTTAACACTCTTATTTGCAAGACTTACTAGAATGTATCATTAGGCTTAGCACATAATTAGCCTCTTGCTCTAAAGTTAAAAATGCGGTAACATCTGTAACCTGTTGGAACCCATAGAAAAGATTTCTTAATGTTGCTGTAGTCCCCCTAACACCAGTGTGTTATTGAGTGTATTGATTTAGGATTTTTTTTTATTTTTTATTTTTTTTTTTTGCGGACCTGGGGTTTGAACTCAGGCCCCTGTGCCTGCTAGGGAAGCACTTATTCCACTGAGCTATCTCCCCGGCCCCTGACTTAGGATTTTCTTTGTTCCTTAGCTATAAAAGTTCATGTAGTCACTTTTCCTTCAGAACACATCACGAGTGGTGGCAAACCTGTCACATGCGTGCTTCAGCAGGTACGCAGAGCCCTTGCTGTTGCCACGTGAGCCATGTTGCCCTACCATTGCCCCCGCAGCCAGTTTAATTGCCGGGTGTTGGCACTTTCTGAGAAATAAGTGGCTTTGGATTGCAGTTTGGGTGCTCGGTCTCTAGAAATTTCATCATCACTGATTCATGGTAACTTCAAACCATGTTCCTGGCCATAGTCACTCATATTTGACTCAGAATAAGCTATTCTTTTAAAGCAAGGCTGTTATTTTACTTCAACAACAGCTACAAAAGAAGCCAGGTGAGGGAAAAAAAAAACCTTTGCTGGTGAGATAGCTCTGTAGAATAAGCGCCTGCCTGGCAAGTGTCAAGGTCCTGAGTTATAATCCCCAGTGCTGCAAGAAGAAAAAAAAGCCAGGGGCTGGGGAGCTGGCTCAGTGGAATAAGCGCTTCCCTGGCAAGCACAAGGGTCTGAGTTCAATCCCCAGTTCTGCAAAAAAAACCAAACAAACAAACAAAAAAAAAAAGCCAGGTGTGGTAGCACATGCCTGTAGTCCCAGCACACAGGAGGCTGAGGCGGGCGAATACATGTGAGTTTGAAACCAGCCTGGGCTACAAAGTGAGCTCAAGGCCAGCCTGAACTGCAGAGTGAGATCATGTGAAATCGAGTGAACAAATGAGGCTTGTGTTAAGGGATACACAAGAAAAAGACGGCACTTTGAGGGTGTGCCTCAGTGGTAAAATAAATGTTTAGCCTTGTGAGTTAGGTCCTCAGCAATACAGGAAAAATAAGGTTGCTGGCCCTCTCTGCTACTGGCCTCAGCCATAAACTATTTGCATAGTTATAGTGATGTAAATATGGGCAATTAATATAACCAAAGCTTGGGTCAGGGTGATGTTAGGTGACTGAGGGCGGGGGAAGTGGGTGGGGCAAGGTAACTGCAGAGTTTAGTGCTCATTTACCATGGTAGAAAGTTAGTAAAGAAATTTCAGCGATTGGTAAGTCATCACCATGCAAACATTATTTAAGAATGGTCGGGATTGAGCGACTGCCTAGGCAAGTACAGGGAGCAGGGTTTGATCCCCAGTGCGCACCCTGTCCAACCCCCCCTCCCCCCCACTGAGCTGGCCTCCAAGGCTGGGTGGGCATGGTGGTGCACGCCTGGAATCCCAGTGCCAGGGAGACTCAAAACGGGAGGGATCAACACAAGTCTGAGCTGTCTAGTGAGACCTTGTACCAAATACATTAAAAAAAAAAAAAAAAATTGGGCTAAGGAAATATCTCAGAGGCATAAAGCAAACACAAGGCCCTGGGTTCAATCCCTGGTACAAAAAAGAAAAGAAAAATGGTGTTAAAAGCAGAATAATTCTGGGGCTGGAGAGATGGCTCAGTGGTCTAAAGCATCTACTTGAAACAAGCTTGGCAAAGCACAGGGACCTCGGTTTGATCCTCCAGCACCACATGCCAGCCAGCCCCGCCCCCTGGTGGGCTGAGCTGGCCACACACACACACACACACACACACACACACTCTAAATAAATGTAATAAATAAAAATAAATTTAAAAAAAGCAGAATAATTCATTAAAAGAATTGAAGATAATTACTTCTGGGAAGCGGTTAAGGGGATTGGGTCAAGAGATTTAAAAATTAAAGAGTACCATATAATGACATATTTTCTTACAGAAATTAGGGAATTTCAAGCCAGGCATAGTACCAGAAGCCTGTTTCAAATAACAAAACAAGATCTGACTAACTCAACCTGTTTCTGTTTTCCTTTTAGGTTTAAGTTTTTGAGATTGAAGTAGGTCTGCACATTAGGAACTCATGTCTTTCCTTGTAAGTAAACCAGAGCGAATTAGGGTGAGTGTTTCCATTCTTCTGACTATTTTTCTTTTCTGAAAATAAAATGGCTTTTGACAGATATTATAGGTGGGTTTTTTGTGTGAAAACAGAATCATGCAGAAGTGAGGGATACAGAAGTAAGGCAGACGTTGCAGCCTCTGCTTTGCAGAAGAGAACTTTCAGGAAGAGGCTGACCAAGGCCCACAGAATGTACCGCAGGACCAGCCTATCTGATGGAGAAGAAACAAGGAGACTTTGTTAATGAATAAGTAGCAGTCACATGCACTAAGTGGACAGCCCTTAATATAGATGTACAGCTGCTAATGACCTCCCCATTTCCTTGGCTTTTAAGGGGCTTGGTTTTAAAATTAGTGATTAAATTGCAATTACTAGGGCTGGGGAGATGGCACAGTAGAATAAGCGCTTGCTAAGGGCCTGAGTTCAATCCCTGGTTCCGCCAAACAAAAAACCAAAAACCACACAAACAAATTGCAATTACCACAGCAGAGTTTTCTAAGGATAGTCATTACCATTAACTGAGAACTTTGTGAAATTCAACATGAAAAATTTCTTACACTTTAAAACTCTATCAGCTGCAGGTGCTGTAGATATAGCTCAGTGGAATAAGTGCTTGGCTGGCAAATGCAAGGTCTTGAGTTCGATCGCTGGTACTGAAAAAAAAAAAAAAAACAACTTTAAAGCTCTATCAGCTGAAATGATCTCAAAAATAAATACTAGACTTAGCTTTTTAATAACTGCCCATATGAAACATGAGTTTACCAATCTCTTTAAATATTAAAACACAGATCATGTTTTGGGGCTGGTGAGATGGCTCAGTGGTCTAAAGCATCTACTTAGAACAAGCTTAGCTAAAGCTCAGGGACCAAGGTTCAATCCCCCAGCACCACATGCCAGCCAGCCCCGCCCCCTGGTGGGCTGAGCTGGCCACACATAAATAAATTTTAAAAATTAAAAAAAAAAAAAAAAAAAAAAAAAAAAAAAAAAAAAACACAGATCATGTTTTGTGGTATAGTACAAATAAATATTTTAGCTTTTGCTTGATTTAGTGCTGGGAGGTGAACCCGGGGTCCTCATGCCAGGTGGACGCTCTACCACTGGACTATACCTCTAGCCCCACAGATATTATACTGTTTTTTTATTTGGAGGGAAATTGTTACAAAGAACAACAGAGTGACTTTACAGCTCCAATTCACAATCTTACACAACTTACTTCAGGATGTTTATCATCATTATGTCTGTGTGTAAGAATATTTACATTGTAAAGTCAGTGTTAAAAGGAAAAAATGATAACTCTCCTTAGTCTGAACTCCGTGCAGAGAGTGCTTGCATGCCAACCTTTGCACCAGTCCTTAAGTAAAACATAGTCTTGATGCCATTAATTTTCTAGTTGAACCTCGCATGATTCAGATGAAACCAGACCATGATCAGGATGATCCATCAGTGTGATGGAAATGTAGCACTTACTTGAAGTAGGCCGGGGAGGTGGACTGTAGGCCGACCCTGCTAGCTGGGCCCTTGTGAACTTCGTAAGAAATGTAGATGACGATGCCGTGGAGCCCTTGGGCCCTAAGGGATAAAAGAATATGTAGCTGTGTTTGCTTTTATAAGCTGAGGTATGTGTAAAGCTTTCCTCGCTGTTTTCTGTATTTTGAATTCCAATAATACCTTTCCAGTTGGCAGTAATGATCCAAAACATCTATAATAGCTAGCTATGGAATGAGTAAGAGAGAGCGAATAATCGCTTCCTCTATAGGAAGGACAAAAGCATTCTTCACTATTAGAGCAAATACTGTGTACTTCCCCATCTGTCAGAGTTAGGGTTTAGTCGTTCTTCTGCCTCAGATTTGGAGTAAAGAGGAATAGAGAAAAGGATTGATCTATTATTTGTGGTTGACTTCAAGATTCTTTTCAAAACTTTTTCATAGAAATGTGCTCTGTATTCTGTCTGTACTGCATGATTCTGCTTTTAGCTGTGGTTTTATTTGTCTGAAGCTGATAGCTGATTTGTTGTGGTTTGGAAGACATACTAATTCTCTTTGGGGTTTTCCTCTTTAGCGGTGGGTCTCGGAAAAGTTCATTGTTGAGGGCTTAAGAGATTTGGAACTATTTGGAGGTAAGTATGTTATGCCACTTAGCTACCAATTCAGGATACATATCACAACTTTCGTTAACTAAATCAGTTTATACAAATTAGCCATTCTGAGAGCAGTGTAAAACTATAGTTGTTTGATTTATTTGGCTCTTTTTCCTTCCCTTTCCTTCCCTCCCTCCCTCCCTCCCTTCCTCCTTCCCTCCCTCCCTCCTTCCCTCCTTCCTTCTGAGATGAGGTTTCACTGTGCCATTCAGACCAGCCTTGAGCTCCCTTGTGACCCAGGCTGGCCTGCTCGCAGGGATCCTTCTACCTCAGCCTCTCATGGACGTGTGCCGCCACACTCGGCTGTTTGGCTCCTTTTTGAATATTTGTTTCCGAAAGATTTCAGGACTCAGCTGGCAGTTGTACTTGACATACCTTCATTGTTAGAAAGACAAACCACTGTTTATTTAAAAGCATATAATTTTTCTTTTGAGTATCCAGCTGAAATACTTACTTACATTGGTGGTACTGGGGCTTGAACCCAGAGCGTTCGCACTGTGCTACATACCCAGCTCCTTTTTATTTTTTATTTGAGACTAGGTTCCCCTAAGTTGCTAACTTGTGGGGTCTGGGCTCAGACTTGTGATGTTTCTGCCTTTCTCACTCATCGGACCCCTCGCTTCCTGCTAGAACTGCAGGCTTGCACCGTGTGCCCAGCTCAGTGTGTGGGACTTGAATGAATAGGTTTTGGATTTGATTGCTTTAGGTCCAGCTCTCTGGCTGTCTTTTGGGGTGTTGTTTTGAGAGTATCTCACTTTGTCATTCAGGCTGGCCTCAGAACTAGACAGCTTCCCAGCTGTCTGCCTCAGTTTCCCAAGGCGTAAGATTATAGGCGTGCACCTCCACACCCAGCTTTGCCATTCCTGTCTTTTAACAGTGCCCTGCTGCCTTGATGGCTTTTAGAGCTTTCAGTGATAACAGACAGCTGCTGTCACACAAGAGTCATAGGCTCACCACCACTACCGCTCCCCTGTATCTGACCTGAGCAAGATGAACATATATACATGGTTGTTCTATGTAGTTGCTTTATGAACTTGGTATTACTAAGTATGACACAAACTGGGGTTTGCCTTCTACTGGGAAATGGAGTCTAATTTTCTTTCAGTACACTCTTCTTCACTTCCTACTTTTGCTGCACTGCTTTAAGCAGCTGGGTCTGCTGTTTGTATTCCAGAAAGCCGATGTCCAAGGAGGAGGAAATTTCTATTTTGATAAATTGAGACTAATTTACTTTGAAACTAATCTCTAGCACTATAGTTGGTAGTTCCTTCTTACAAGAATGCATTTTCCTTTTTAACTGCACTCAGTCTAATTTTGTTTTGTGTGGTTTAAGATACTTACAACTGTATAATTTACAACTGTGGAAATGGGTGATCCACTTCTGTACAGTTCAGAATCAGTCTCTCTTCTTCTCCCCTCTTCCCTCTCTCTTCCTTTTCCTTTTCGTTGTAGCACTAGGAATTTGAAGTCAAGGCCTTCACCCTGAGCTACATTTCCAGCCCTGCTTTTCATTATTTATTTTTGAGACAGGGGCTTGCTAAGTAAGCTGGGCCTGAACTTGCAGTCCTCTTGCCTTGGGCTCAGACTGCTGCTGAGATGATAGCATGTGCCACTAAGGCCAGCGTTTACTTATTTATTTTTGTGGGGCTCAAGATCAAAGTCAGGGTCTCACATATGCTAGGCAAATGTTCTGCTGCTGAACTATACTCCCAGCCTCCTACCTTAATTTATTTACACTTCTACAAAATTGGAAAAGTCAAAAGCACCTACAGAGGGGTGGGAAGATAGTTCAGTAGAATAAACGCTTTCCTGGCAAGCGCAAGGGCCTGAGTTCAATTCCCAGTTCTGCCCCCCCCCCAAAAAAAAAGCACATACAGAATTTGTCTGATTCAAAAACAAAATTGTTTCAACTGTGCTATGATTTATTCCTTTTTACTATGAGTAGCAGAGTGCTGTAAAGCCCCTACTTTGTGTTCAGGATAGAGAGAGAGGAACTATTAAGTTTGGCTCTGAAATCAGCCTGTTTAACACGGTGTGCTGATGACAAGTAAGTGTATGGCCAGGACTGTCGTAGTCGAGTGACCCTCAGGACGGAATGCCCTCAGTAACCTCCACAGGTTTGGAAGAGCCGTGGCTTCATGTTTAAAACCCTGTCGAGCTGCAGCACTTTCACTGTGGATCTGCGCATGAGTGTTTATATGTAGCGCTGCAGCCAGCCTTTTCTGTAATGACTCTTTAAGTAACTTCGATTGATAAATGTAGTGCAAAGTGCAGTAATTGCTGTTCTGAATGTGAGCATGTCTTCTGCTAAACAACACGATGCCAACTGTCAATTTCTCTACTCCAGAGCAGCCTCCAGGTGACGCTCGGAGAAAAGTAAGTGACTTTCTGGGCGCTAGCAATATGGCTGTTGCATGGAGATGACTTGTGCAAGTTTATATGTACTCTATCGGCTTATTGTTTTGTTTCTATCTTTCTGACATTGAGCTTTATTTTTACTCTGATTCATTCACTTGTAGAGACTCAGGTTTCTCCCTGGAAAGGCTGATGTGTGGTTTAGAGTGAAAACATCTCAGGCACTTCTGGGGGCTCTTCTGAGGACTAAGATCTCCTTCCTCCTCTGCCCAAATACCCACCGTCCCCTCACCCCCCCATAAATGTTACCAATCTGAAGTGCGGTTATCTGTTAGTGCCTGGTGGTTCTAATTTATCCATCCTCAGTCTACTAATAATAGATTTCAATCCGTAGAGATAATACAGATCTCTGTCTAGGTCATAAAGCAGGACTTCAGTCCCCTATCTTAAAAATGAAACCAATTTAAAAGTACAAACCACAAAATGCACATTTGCCATCGGCGCAGGCTGCAGGACTTACTCTGCTTCCTCTTCTGGCTCATGTTACCCAAGGAAGCAGCATAAGAAGTGCACAGCGAAGCACGTTACTTTGGAGAATGGAACAGTGTCTTACGAAACAGGAAGATAAGAATTCTCTTCTAAGTGTACTTCTTTCTTGGGCTTCTAAGTATTTGCATCTTTTGTAGGTAGCCCCAAGTTGACTGAAGGAAGATGATGTTGACTAAGAATATCTTTTTGAGTCGAGGATACAGCTCAGCAGCACAAGCACCTTTCCGGCAAGCACAAGGTACTGAGTTAGATTCTCAGTACCCTCCCCCACAAAAAGAATTTGTTTTAGAGTAAAGCTTTGACTGCGCTTATATAGTCTCAGAAGCACCTGTCTATAAGACCCCAGAAATTTGGCTTTTGAGACAAGATCTTGCTATGTAGTTGAGGTTGCCTTGATCTTACTTGGTAGCCCAGGCTGGCCTCAAACTCAGGGCAAGTCTCCTGTCTGCCTCCCGAGTGCTGGGATTACAGGTGTGTGCCACAGCATCTGGCTGATCCAAATCTTTTTTTTTTTTTTCACTCAAGAGAACAAAAAAGTTAACCTGTAGGATCAGTTAGATTTTTTTCAAAGTACAGTGCCAATTATATGTAATTTTATATATCCACAGCTGCCAGCATTCTATCAAAAGCCATCCTGTGTGAAACCTGTGGAAAGTGGAATGTGTTTATATGGTGACATTTTCTAAATGTTGTCTTTGTATGCTTCATTGCATTTTTTGTTTTCTTTTTGTGTTTTGGAGTGTATTTTGTTTATAAATTATTTAAACATTTTATGGTAATTTGGAGATGTCAGTGGCTTTTATATTATTCAAATGCTTCATAACAAATAAAATGCCTTTTATGGTTTGGGAAACTTAAGAAAACTGTGATAGGATTGATTTTTTCCTCTGAGCACCTAGACATTGTACGTTATGTAAATAAAACTGTACCATCTTATGTTCACACAGAATGGACTAAATATTTCATCCTTTTCGTCTGAATTGAGACCTGTAAATCTGAAACAGGGCAGTGAGCTAACTTCCGTGCCTTGTTTCCTGGGTAGTCCACGGGCTTTCCTAAGTCACGGTTCCCTGACGTAGGTAGACCCGCAGGACCCACAAAACACAAAGCCTCCATCTTAGCGTCGTCGTCATTGAGCTGGGGACAGCAGTGAGGGAGGAGACGCAACAGTCACCAGTTGATTTCGTGTAGTTTCAGACTGAGCTTTCTGTTACCTGGTGACACTGATTTCATTGAGAGCAAGTGTGTGCTCACTGGTTTTAGAGGTGGAGAACATAGGGTGCTGAACGACTGAAGTCGCATCGTAAGCCCTAACCAGCAGAGGTTCCCCATTCCAGAGCTTTGCTCCGGTTGTATCTGTCTCTTGCTGTGTGTCTCTCACCTGTGTGAGGTACCTAGCATGTAAGAACTAGTTGTTTTTTTTTTTTTTAAGCAGTGGCACAATTTATTTGAAAAGGCAGAAGTGAAGAGTGTGACTCTGACCCTGTAGGGTTGAGCTTGAGCCACGTGAGAGAGGGAAAGCCCTGGAGGAAGTAGGGAGGTTCCAGGAGGGAAACTGCAGTGGCCGTAGCTGTAGTAACGGATAACCTTAAGGGCATTCTAAGAATGAGGCAACTGCAAGTAGCTACAGTGACAAATGCTCATGGAGTTTATCTGCAGAGATGAATTTAAAAAGTATACAGTGGCTCAGTAGAATAAGTGCTTCTCTGGCAAGCGCAAGGGCCGGAGTTCAATCCCCAGTTCTGAAAAAAAAAACAAAAAACAAAAAAAACCTATACAAACCAATTACTTTAACTGGTTTAAAGTGAGTTCAATCCCTGGTACTGCAAAAATAAATAAATAAATAAAGCTAAAAATAAATGACGCTCCATTTGGGTTTCCTTCATTTTTTTGTTGAGACAGGGTCTTGCTGGGTAGTCCAGGCTAACCTTGAACTCACTGTGTACCCAGACCAGCCTTGAACTTGTAGCTGTGACTACTAGGTTTCATCATTACGGGCCCAGCTCCACCTGTGTTTCTTTTTTTTTGCTCTGAATACCTTCAGGGCATGTTTGGCTGGCTTGAGTTGTAGGGATCGAACCACAGCAACCTGAGCCTGACTGCTTGGTTGAAGAGGCACTTAAAGAACTGAGCTAAGGGGCAGGCCCCCACCCCCCGTGTTTCTGTGTCCTTCACTCTGTGCCATTTTGAGTGGAAAGTCACTTAAAATAGATAGTAATAAAGAGAATAGAATTCATTTATATTGAATGCCTGTTATACGCTATGTAGTACTAAGCTCTTTACATATCTGTTATGATGTAATAGCTATAACAGGCCTGTACGATGGGAATTAGACCACTGCTGAGACGCCAGATCAGCACAGAGAGGCAGACGGTTGAGAGCCTTCAGTGGTGTAAACAGCCCACTGGGCACGAAAGCCATCGGTTTGCTGCCCCTTGGTTAGAGTCACTTGCCTGGGGTTACAGGCAGTGATAACCCAAATCCAAATTGTGTGCCTGTCTGGCGCTCAGTGTTATGCCATACATTTTACTGGAACTAGCCTTTCCAAATTACCTTCCTAAAATTCAGTTGATATTCGCACAGAAGTTTCGTGGACAGGTATCATTGAGAAATGCGAGGTCAGACAGAGCTGAGCAAGGTTCTTCACTGCTGAACTTCTCCATGCTTTGATATGTACGCCTCGTGAGTCTCCTCGACAGAATGCATGTGCATTTCCTAGCTTAATTGGCTGTGGAAACTTCTTGTACACCAAGTGCCGGGTTCAGTGTTCCATAGGGCCTGCTTTGGGAAAATCTTGCACTGAAAAAGCTCAATAGCAAAAGGTCAGAGATAGAGAGAAGCATTTCACCGTGAAGAAAGTCCACATGGCCAATAAGTATTTGAAAAGACACTTACGGGGGGGGGGGGGGGGCCCAGGGGGGGGGGGGGGGGCGGGGGGGGGGGGGGGGAGGGAGATAGCTCAGTAGAATAGGCACTTGCCTGGCAAGCACAAGGTCCTGCGTTCAATCCCTGGTACTGCCATAAATAAATAAGTAAATACCTTTAAAAGGAAAGAAGAAAAGACACCTTTATCAATAATCAGGGAATTGTAAAGCAGGCCCACAATGCAATTGCCAAAAATAAATAAATAAATCTATCTGACAATACTAACTATTGGGAGAAAGGTAGATTAACAAGAAGACTTTTGTTTTGGTGTAACCATTTTATTTATTTAATTTTTTGGTGTAACTTTTTTTTGGAACCGGGGATCAAACTCAGACTCTTGCACTTGCTGGGGAAGTGCTTATTCTACTGAGCTATCTCCCTGCCCCCCCCCTTTTTTTTGGTGGAACCGGGGATTGAAGTCAGGCCCTCACACTTGCCAGGCAAGCGCTTATTCTACTGAGCCATCTCCCTGATCCATGGTGTAACCATTTTGGAAAATAATTTGGCATGGTCTCACCAAGTTGATTGTTCATACACTCCATGACCTACCAGTTTCATCCACTCCTAGGTAAAAGCTTTAGTCAGGAGACATAGCCAGATGTGTGTATAGTAGCACAGTTTATCCTAGCAGAATAGGCAAACAGTTCAAAAAGTTCATCAAGTCTTAGATAAACTGAGGTGTGTTTGTGAGGAATATTATTTAACAGTGAAAATGGATGAACTATAGCCAAAGACAAAAATATAGCTGAACCTTAGAGAAAAAGTGGATTAAAAGGGCCAGGCAGATAGCTCAGCAGACTAAAGTGCCTGCTTAGGCAGAGCACAGTGGCTAGGGTTCTTTTCCTGGCGTGCCGTGCCAGCCCCAATCCTGTGGCGCCCTGAAACGGCGATTGAGACTGGGCGTGGTGGAGTGTGCCTGTAATCCCAGTGCTTGGGATGCTGAAAAAAGGAGAATCACAAGGTAGTGAGAACTTGTACTAGATATATAAAATAAATAAATTGTTTAAAAAGTGGATTAAGGGGCCTGGGAGATGGCTCAGTAGAATAAGCACTTGCCTGGCAAGCGCAAGGGCCTGAGTTCAATCCCAGGTACTGCACAAAGAAAAAACAAAAATGCCCTTCAGTGATTGGGTTGGACTTTGCTTGACTAAAACCTTTTAGTGTCAGTTAAGTATGTGGTTAGGAAGGCAGGGCCCCACCTGGGTTCTCTCATAGGCAGACATTATATATATATATATATATATATATATATATATATATATATATATATTTGGGCCTGGGGAGGGTTTTTGTTTGTTTGGCTTGTAGAAAAGCTCTCCCAGTGCCATGCAGGCTGGCCTCGGACTCCGACCCCTGGCCTGTCTCCCGCGCCGGCTCCTAGTCAGCTGTGCTGCCACGCGTAGCTGAGCAGCGCCAGACGTTTGCACCCGGCTGTGCTCAGAGTGTCGGCGCAGGAGCATCCTTTCCCTGGCGTGGGCCTGGGTCGTGTGTCGGCTGATCTTCACAGGCCTCATTTTCAGTACTGCAAAGTAGAGATATCTGTCCCACCTACCTCACCGCCTTATGAGCAAGCTCAGCTGCACTTGGAAATGCTCTGTGAAAAGTACATTCTGTCTAAGTGACGCATTGAGCGTGATCCGTTACATTTGGTTTTGAGACGGGCTAGCTGTGTCACTGCATTCCCCAGGCTGAGCTGGGCCTCCTGCCTCAGCCTCCCGAAGTACTGGGAGCACAGGTGCCACCACACACAGTTTGAGCCGAACTCTTCGGGCTCTTCTGTGGCTGAGAGCTGAGGGCCGAGTCCCTGGCCTGCAGCTCCGAGTGCCACTCACCGGTAAATGTGAAAGGAGGACCAGCCTGGCCTCGCGCTGTGCGGAAGAGGGCTCTTCTTCTCGCCACGTTTTTGCTTCCCTTTCCTTTTTCTCTTTTTCTTCCGCAGTGCTGGGGACTCAGCGCAGGGCCTCTGCACTGAATGCATCCTTAGTTCTTTTCAATTTTGAAATAGGACCTCATTAAATCCCAGAATTGTCCAGACTGGGCTGGAATTTGCAGTCCCTCCGCCTCAGCCCCCCAGCTTGCTGGGACAGCTCTGTACCACCCTTTCTGCTGGACACATTTTTCTGAGAGTAAGACTTAACGTTTGACCTTTGGAATCTTGCAGCAAGGAACTTAAAAATAGACTCCTAACGCATTAGGAAGTTAAAGAGAACTCTTCGCCTCTCTTTGTCTTCTTTTCTTTTCTAAGTATGTCTTTCTCCAGGCACCCTTTCCCCAGGTAAGACTTTCATAGACTTAAGCAAAGGGGTTGGTTGTTGGTAGGGACAAGCAGTTCAGCAGCTGGGGAAAGGGCTTCTGCGCGGCCCAGCTCTGTTGGCAGCTGACGCCACTGCTGCCCGCCGCGCCGAGCACTGATCTTCTATTTCTCCCCACATACTCCTGGCACTGTTTCTTTGCCAGCATCTGGATTCATGTTTAGATGTGAGTGGCCACATCTGTCCCCCTCCCATTCTTGCCCCATTTTCTCTATTAACCTAGTTTTCTGTTTTCTTTAGACCAATGAGGCGAGCTCAGAGTCGATAGCATCCTTCTCCAAGCAAGAGATCATGAGCTGCTTCCTGCCAGAGGCAGGGTGTTACGAGCTGCTCAGTGTTCTAGGTAACGTGCGGGAACTGTCATCGCTCTTCAGCTTCACAGACCTGTGGTCCAGAGGCTGAGGCGGGAGGGTTGACGCGAGTTCACGGCTGTCAGGAGCCCAGGGTCAGCCTGAGTCACAAAGAAGACTCTTCTACAAAACAAAACAAGAGAAGACCAGACTAGGCCAGGCCAAACCTGGCTGAGCTTGCTTTGGGTTTCTGCTGCCAGGTATTAGAAGAAATCAAGTTTCCAGAAGAGAAGGCCTTTCGTAATTTTTTCCTCATGGCCATACAAATCTGACGTCCTGGGCTATAGTCAGGTAGAGAAACAACTAAGAGGAAGAGGCCAAAAAATTTAACTTTTCTGTTGAAATCAAGCCACTTTTATTTAAAGAAGACAGAAGACTTGCTATTGTCATAAACAGTGTCTTTTTTCTTAGGCAAAGGATTTGAGGACCTGATGACCGTTAATCTCGCAAGGTATAAACCAACAGGAGAGTACGTGACAGTCCGCAGAATTAACCTAGAAGCTTGTTCCAACGAGATGGTGACGTTCCTGCAGGTAATAAAGCACAAGTACGGCACTGACGGCTGGGCGCTCGGCTCTGCCGTAATCGCAGTGCGTTCCTTACCCAGCTGTCTGAAGCATGTGGTGAGAAGTAGGGCAAGCATTCAGAAGTGGCAGAAACTTTCAGTAAAGAGCCTTGGGCACTTAGCACCAAGGCCTGGGCGGTCGCACGCGGGACCCAGTTGATGGCCCCATTTTCTGCTTCAGATCTTCCTTTCTGGCTCACTTTTTCATTTATTATTCAGAGAAGCTAAGTAGTAAGTGGCAGCGGCATGTGTCAGAGCCAGTGTCCTGACATGGCCTGCGAGCCCGACACCAGGACCGTGTTCTAGCTAGTAGCATCCTGTTTGCCTGAGATTCTTGCCTGTTCAGGGAGCAGCTAGCCTCCCTCCTGTTGCACCGAGACCACAGGCCTGGACTTGGGGCAGCTGTGGCTGTAGGGCCCAGTGCAGCACATCTCCGGTCTGCGCACCTGCAGCCCAGCCCTTCTGCATCTGCCAGGTTTCCTGCATCAGTGCTCACCTGGTGGTGCTCGAGCCCCAGCCCCTCTGTTCACAGGAGTGTGCCGGGGCTGCAGGCGGAGCCGAAGGCCACTCCCAGCTAAGTTATGTGAGGGGAGACACAAATACTTCCCTTCTAGGGCCAGCCAATTAGCTCAGCAGATTAAAGCTCCTGCAAGCAGGTGCAGGGGCCAGGAGTTCGATCCCCCAGCCTGCCGCACTGGCTCCGCCCCTGGGGTGCTCTGAGATGGCGGTTGAGACTGGGCGTGGTGGCACGTGCCTATAATCTCAGCTCTTGGGAGGCTGTAAACAGGCGGATCACTGCAAGTCCCATCTAGTAGTGAGACCCTGAACGCCCTGTAGACCCTTCCCTAAAATACAGGAAAAAACAAAAAACAAATACATTTGTTCTGGAGCACATTGAATTGTGTGGTTCTTCTGGCTCTTACTCTCTGAAGCAGTGGCCGGGCAGAAGGGACAGCCCATTCAGCCTTAGCTTGGGTCCCAAAGGCTGAGACCCTGGCATTTCTGTAATTCTTCTAATTATTTAGTTTTTATACTTGTTATAGCTGTATCTGAGGAAGGGATCACTTATTCTGAGATTGCTGGAAAAAATCTCTTTTAATGTTTATTATCCTTTGTTCCTTAATATTTTCTTATTTCTGTCACCTATTGTATATGTACGTATTTGTCTTTTTGAGGCAAGTTCTTCCTGCCTTAGCCCCTTAGAGCACTGAGATTATGGGCGTGTACCATCATGCCCAGGTTCTTTTGATTTTTGAGGTAGTGCCTCACTCTGTAGGCCGGGGTGGCCTTGAACTTGCTGTGTATCTGATGCTGGCCTCAAACCTGTGATCTTCCTGTCTCAGATGTTCAAGTGCTGTGATTACCTACCACTCGGGGCTTGCTTCCCTCCCCTTCCACCTCCCCCCCTTCATTCCCCCTCTCTCCTCTCCTTCTCCCCTCCATTCCCCTTCCCTTCTTCCCTTCTCTCTTTTTAAATACTTTTTTTTATAGAGAGATTTGCTATGTAGTTGTGGTGGTCCCCCAGCTTCAGCCTACCAAGTGCTTCTTCGGATTCTTGCCGGGTCCAGAGCCACCCTGAGGTCTAATCTGGCGAAGCAGGCAGGCTTCCTTGTGGGGCCTGCTTTGTCCTGTTTTGGAAATACTGGTAGACTACTCATAGGCCTCTGAGAGGAGCACCCAGAAAGAATAGGGTCCCGTGTGGCTCATCCTGTCACATCAGTGCTGGGCAGCGCCCCTCAGGGCCCCTTGCTTCTGGCTTCAGCTTTGCCATTGCTTTCAGGGGGAGCTTCATGTCTCTAAGCTCTTCAGTCATCCCAACATCGTCCCGTACCGAGCCACCTTTATTGCTGACAACGAGCTGTGGGTTGTCACAGCGTTCATGGCCTATGGTGAGTACAGAGGGGCTCTGGTGGCAAGAGCCCCGGACTCCGCTGGCAGGGCGCTGTGTGGTACTCTCTGTCTCTGCCACCCTTTGCTGTCTCCCTGCATTCTTTTCCTCAGGCTCAGCAAAGGATCTCCTCGGCACGCACTTCCTGGACGGCATGAGTGAGCTGGCCATCGCCTACATCCTGCAGGGCGTCCTCAAGGCTCTGGACTACATCCATCACATGGGCTATGTGCACAGGTGCCGCTCTCTTGGGGGCTTTGGTTTCTACTCCCGCTTTTTGAGACAGTCTCTCCCTGTGCAGCCAGGATGACTTGGGACTTTACTGCAGCGTGAATGTGCGACTCAGCGTTAGCCTTCTGCGAGCTGGCTGCACCACAGCCAGCTGTGCACAGCACCAGGGATGGACCGCAGGCCTTGCGCTTGCCGGGCGAGCGCTGGTTCTGCCGCGCCATCTCCCCGGCCCCTGCAGTACCTTCTTAACCGGAGGAAAGGTTCTGCGCCCTGAGCCCCCAGGGGAACATTTAAAGTTGGACTGCAGTGGATGAAGCAGAGTTTATAACCAAGATCTGCCTTCCAACCGTGCCTCTGACTTGGGAGACAGTCTCCTCGCCCGGCAGTACTGACACCACTGACTTGCTCTTGAGTGGGCAGCTTGGTCCTGAGGATTGCTTTGCTTTTCCTTCTTTTTTTTGAGACAGGGTCTCACTATGTAGTTCAGGCTGGCTTTGAACTCACTATGTAGCCTAGGCTGGCCTCGAACTCTTAGCAGTCCTCCTCCCTCAGCCCCCACGTGCTGGGATCGCAGGCATGTGCTGCCACCCTGGGCTGTGCCCGTGCCACAGATGAGGACCATCTGAGGTGGATTGTTGTCCTCTGTTCCCTGCCTGCCTTCTGTGTGCCCCAGAGTTGGTCTGTGCTGAGTGGCTGAGAAAACTCTTGCTTAGAGGTGATGTCAGGGAGACCAGCTCCTGCTAGGGAGGGTAATAAAAGGACACAAAGATTAAAGGCCTAATTATAATTTTTTTCCTTATGTTTTTATATTTTTTTTCTAACTATGCATTTAAACCTGCAGACTTAAGGACATAGTTTCGTGACCTGAGGCATAGAAGAACTGAGTATTTCAGAAGCATACAACGTAAACCAAAAAGAGATGGGTTCAATTATATCAAGATAAGGGGGCTGGGGTGAGAGCTCAGTGGAGTAAGTGCTTGCCTGGCAGGTGCAGGGTCCTGAGTGCAATCCCTGGTACCACCGAAAGGAAAAGAAAAAAGGTTAAGGGCCAGCCAGCCAGCCAGCTCAGCGGAGTAAAGCACCTGCTTAGGCAGACTCAGGCCTGGGCTGGGGGGGTTTGATCCCTGGCCTGCTGTGCCAGCCCTGCCCCTGGGGCATGCTGAGACAGTGACTAAGACTGGGCGTGGTGGTGCACGCCTGTAATCCCAGTGCTGGAGAGGCTGGAGAAACAGGAGAATCACTACGAGTCTGATCTGTGTAGTGAGACCCTGTAGACCCTGTACTATACTAAATACATTTAAAAAAAAAAAAAAAAGACATTAAAGGGGGCCAGGGAGATAGCTCAGTGTCTCAAGCACCTGGCTGGTAAGTACAAGGTCCTGAGTTCAATTCCCAGTAGAGAAAAAAAAAAGGATTAAAGGTTTCTGTTCAATAAAATACCATGAAAAAGTGAAGAAACAAATAACACAGTGGAAAATGTTAGCTTTGTCTAAAACACAAAGATTAGTAACAAGGAAATTTTGCAAATCCACAAGAAAAGAACAGCAAGATAAGAAGTAAGTGGGCAAAGGAGATGAAGGTCACATAAGAGGAGACGCCAAAGATTAGGGATCATAGTATACTCAAGCCTGTCAGAGGAAAGCACGTGAAAGGAAGGTGTCACTTTGTACACAGAGCTGGTCGGCGTGGTGGTGCATGCTCGCACCCCAGCACTCTGGAAGACTGAGACAGGAGGATCTCAGTTTTTAGCCCAGCCTGGGTACTTCATGAAGACCTTGTCTAAAAAAGAAGAAAGAAAAACACCTACGGCAGGGCTGTCAGTGGTAGGAACAGCCCGCTGCAGCATGCATGCTGTAGGTTCACCGCTGCCGGCTGAGGGCCGTAGCTTGGTGCGAAGGCTCTGTGTTTAGTCCACAGTGCCATTAAAAAGAAAAGACAAGTGGTAAATAGGCCAGGTGCGTCCTGGGGCAGTAAGGAGAGGGCCGTGTCCCAACAGTGGGGTGCCCCAGTACAGCCAGTCAGACAGAACCAGCACCCTCAGTGCTGCCTCTAGGTGTCTGTCCCAGAGAAAGACCCGTCAGGAGCATGTGTGCGGCAGGCGCTGTCAAAGTTGTGCTGAGGACAGCTAGTGTGAATGTCCTTCCCTGGAGAATGGATGAGTACAAGTGTCGCATCCACCCTGGACTCGAGGCGACAGTGAGAAGCACAGCTCAGCAGGATGTGGTGGTACACACACACTCTCTACTCTGGAGGCTGAGAAAGGAGGATTGCGTGTTCAAGCCCAGCCTGGGCCACGTAGCAAGACCCTATCTCAAAAACTAGAGAGGGCTCCGGCAGCGCTTTCCTGAGATCAGCTCCCAGAACTGGGGTGAGGGCAGAGAGCCGAGAGCAAGGTCATGACGCAGGAGGGTGTGCTGCTTACACAGGTGGCCTTAGGAGTGTAGCACGAGGGAAAGCAGAGCCGAGAGTGTCTCCAAACAAGTGCAGACGTGTGTTTTCAATCTGCCTAGTGGTGCTGTGCTGTCCAGCTTTTCCTTTTTCACTGCATACTGTTTTGGAGTATTTTTGGTAGAAAATGGGGGAAAAGAAGGTCTTGCACATAAAAGAGGACAGAATATAAGAAAAATTTGAGTTTAATTACATGTAAATGGCCTCATGCTACTATTTTGTGTATGTTTGAGATTTTTCATAAAAATGTGTTTGTGTATGTATAAAATGCACGCTCCCACCTCTGCCCACCTCCACCCGAGCAGCCAGCCAGATACAGTGTAAAGACGGAAGGTCTGTGCTGTGAAGGGCTCCCGCTGCCCATGGCATCCTGTCTGCCCCCCCAGGAGTGTCAAGTCAAGCCACATTCTGATCTCTGTGGATGGGAAGGTCTACCTGTCTGGCTTACGCAGCAACCTCAGTATGATCAGTCACGGGCAGCGGCAGCGTGTGGTGCATGATTTTCCCAAATACAGCATCAAGGTTCTGCCGTGGCTCAGCCCGGAAGTCCTGCAGCAGGTGCGTGCATTGACCCCAGGGCGTCCCCAGCAGCACTACCGACTGCTGAGTTCCGGAGAAGCCTGTGAGAATGTCCTGGCACAGGGAAGCGTGCTTCTGCGCCGAGGAAGAGGGTTTTGGAGGGAGGAGTTGCAGCTGGCCAGCTGTGCGGGAGCCCCGAGTGCCTGGGCATCGCCTGCGTGCTGCAGATGGTGCGGCTTCTACTTGGCCGGCTCCGGAGCCGCCTGCCTGCAGAAGAGAGCTGTTAGGAGCTGCCTGGCGCTCTCCAGTCCCAAGCTGAGCAGAGCGGCCGCATTTCCTCCTCCTCATTACATGCAAACGAGACACGTGTTCCTGTAAAGGAGCAGTTAGCCCCCAGCAGCCCAGGCGAGGTCTCAGCAGCTGGTCCGAGCGGTGGGACAGGCACTCTTTCTTAGTTTTTGCGTCCCTTTTTGTTTTCTAAACAATCAGCAGGTTACAAATAAATCATCTGTGGCTTTTTTCTCCTGACTTAAGAATCTTCAGGGTTATGATGCCAAGTCTGATATCTACAGCGTGGGGATCACAGCCTGTGAACTGGCCAACGGCCACGTCCCCTTTAAGGACATGCCTGCCACCCAGGTGAGCCGCGAGCCCAGGGCTTCCGTTCTGTCTGCCTTTCCCACTTGGGGACTCAGGCTCGGGCTGGCCAGCAGGGCGCAGTGTGCTGTGCTGTGGAGCCCCGCCCAGTCTGGAGAGAGCCCAAGGGCTGCCGTGTAAAGGGAAGCGCTACTGAAAACATACAAACTAAGCTAATCAATTTTTGTAAATTTATAAAGTATCTTCTGTCTTCCTACTTGGGTGAAGAAGATCAGTTTCTAGTTTAGAATGCTCAAAACATCTTAGAGTTACATGCCATCACATCCTGGGCCACACCTTTGGGAACCTCTGTGTGCAAGTTTGCCTCTCATTCAGGACCTGCCTGCCCTTTCCTTGCAGGTACCCCTCTGGCTTAGGAGTACCCAGGCAGTGACACAGTGTGTCCTTAGTTGACATACTCAGGGAAAGAATCCAAAGGCTGCTTGGGGACAGAGTGCCTGCCTAGTGTGTGAGAGGCACGAGGTTAGATTTCCAGTGCCACAAAGACAGCAAGAACAAAATTTCCTTTGGGTAAATCCGGGTGCAAGAGCTTTGGGTCTGGAAGTAACCCATCCAGAATGTTCTGCAGTGTTGAATACCCATACCTGTGCCATCCCGGATGGCAGCCATCAGGCACCTGTAGGTAGGAAGCATTTAAAGTGTGTCAGTGAGACTGAGGGCCTGAACTTTTAACCTGATTAGTTTAGATATAAAAGGCCACCTATGGCTAATAGCTGCCCTATTAGTGCTGCCCTAAAGAGTTCTAGATTTTTGGCTTGGACAGTCATTAGGCTCATGAAAATGCCCATAAAGATAGCAGCATTCAAAGTGGGGGGGAGGGGGGCAAGGCCTGCCGGATTGCTCAGTTGTTTAAAGTGCCTCTTGGGCACACCCAGTCAGGCCCAGGGGACGGCGGTCATCCCCAGCTCCGCATGCCCGACCAGACCTGGTCTTGAGGCAGCCAGAGCTAGCCAAAAATTAAAAAATCCTTCCAAGTGAGGCTGGCTTTACATGTATATTTCCAGGGCTTTGAAACAGCTACCCCTGCCCCGCACCCTGCTCCTGTGTAGCCTGTCTGGGTTGGCCCAGGATGTGGTGCCACAGGTGTTATGTCATGGGCCCTGCTGGCCCACATGTGTATGTAAGACTTGGGCTGGGTTTCAAGGAAAGTGCCTGGGCTGTCCCCTCTACCCTAGGGTAAGCATTGAATGGGTCGCAGGGAGAGGGAACGGGCCCTCTTCCAGCCGCACTGAGGGGTCCTCACAGTCTGTCCCCTTCTGCTGTCTGTTGGCCTCGCCCGGAGAGCTGCTGATCAGGTGGTCTGCATACCTGTGAAAGTCAGCTGTGCTCAGCTTCCATCTTCTCCCCGAATACTACATTTGTGGGGACGATCATATTTCTGAAGAGGTCTTTTGGGCCTTGGGGCCCCTTCTAGCTCAAGCCCCGACTTGCCTCCCCAGATGCTGCTGGAGAAGCTGAACGGCACAGTGCCCTGCCTGCTGGACACCAGCACCATCCCTGTGGAGGAGCTGACCATGAGCCCCTCACGCTCCGCAGCCAACTCTGGCCTGGGTGAGAGCCTGGCCACTGGCATCCCCCGGTCTTCCAACGGGGACTCGCCTTTCCACCCCTACCACCGCACCTTCTCCCCACACTTCCACCATTTTGTGGAGCAGTGCCTTCAGCGCAGCCCAGATGCAAGGTATCTGTATCCTCCTGTCCTGGGGCTGGGCTTGGGGGTGGCGCAGGCAGAGGCCAGCAGGCTCCCGAGTTGGGCCAGGGCTTGAGGGCATGCGCCTCTCAGGAGGAAAGGGAGCTCCCTGGGAGGGATCGTCAGCTCATGGGTGGGCTGAGAGGCCAGTTCTGGTGAGCTGAGGCAAGAATAGAGGGCACCTGAGGAGGCGTAAGGCAGGGTGTAGGGCAGGGGCACAGGGTGATGTGGGTCTCTTCCCCTTTCTCTCCAGGCCCAGTGCCAGTGCCCTGCTGAGCCACTCCTTCTTCAGACAGGTACAAGAGCAGTGGCTCTTCCCCCTTGTGTCGTCCTGCCTGTGGTTCCAGCTGCCCGAGTTCCCGTAGCCGTGTAGCTCTGGGGCCTTTAGACATCTCCTCTATCTTTTTGAATTAGAGAAATGAAGCCCCAAATGCTGCTGCTACTCCCTCTTCATGGATCCTGGCTCCAGAGCCCATTTCACCACTCAACACTTTCCTCCCACAGATCAAGCGACGTGCCTCAGAAGCTTTGCCTGAGTTACTTCGTCCTGTCACCCCAATCACCAATTTTGAGGGCAGCCAGTCTCGGGACCATAGTGGAATCTTTGGCCTGGTGACAAATCTGGAAGAGCTGGAGGTGGATGACTGGGAGTTCTGAGCCTCTGCAGACCCGGCTGGCATGTTCCCAGCCGCCTGGGCGCAGAGAGGGCGTGGAGGACACTGCCCGCAGAGCTGGCTGTGGCTGGTGGAGGAGCATCTGGAGAGGTGTCTCCGGTGCTGTGCAGCTGCTGAGACACAAGGACTCAGGATTGCAAAGATCCAGTCGCAGGCCCACCCCGCCCTCGGGCTGTGGTGGCCCCGGGGCCACAGTCCAAGCCCAAGGTTTGACGCAGCAAGCATGGCATTGCCACCTCTTCTTCCTTCCAGTTGCTCTCCTGCCAGCTGAGTTTCATTCTTTTCCTTTGTTCCCAGATCCGGTAGGCCCATGAAGGGGCAAGCTCAAAGCACCCTTCCTCCCTGGCCCTCTGGCCACTTCCTAATAACGGAAGGGGAAGCTTTCTCTCCCTCTCAAGCAGCAGGTTAAAGCATGGACAGTCCATCCGCGTCCCTCATATTGCTGGGACCTAGGCGCCACAGACTTCTGGCAGCTTCTCTGCGTAGCAGACCTCCCCACGAGTCTGTCCTCATGCCTCCGGCCACTGTCCTGATGCTTCTCCAAGGGCCGTCATTCTTGCCTCACCCGAGAGCTGTGTTAGTTTCATTATCAGAACACATTAAAATGTGTAGAGCATCTGCTGGAGGTTGGCGCTGGTGTGCTCCTGTGGGCGCGGGGATTGCAGGCCCGCGTCCTACCATTTGTTTAAGAGAAGCCGCGAAGACTCCTTCCTGTGTCACTGCACCCTGGGCTCTGCCACCCACCCGTGGGCCCACAGGAAGCATTGCATGAGCTGAGACAGCAGGGCCTGAGCAGCCTCACCGTGGCTTGGGCTGCACCTGAACGCACTGTGTAGCCCCAGGTGGCCTTATTTTTTTTATTTTGTATTTTTGGTGGAACCCGGGCTTGAAGTCAGACCCTTGTGCTTGCCAGGCAAGCGCTTATTCTGAGCTATTTCCCCAGCCCCCCAGTGTGGCTTTAGACTCCTAGTGATCCTCCTGTCTTGGCCTCTGAATGCTAGGGTTGCACCATCATGCCCAGCAACATTTTTTTTAAAGATCTGTAAGAGATGATCTGTTCACTATCTAAAAATCAAAACTGCGTTTTTGCCTGTGGCCTTCAGCCTGTTGGGAATTGGAGCGATCCGGGTGCCAAAGGCTGTAGGACCACTTCCAGCCACTAGGGGTCAGGGCAGAAGATGCTCAATCTGGTTTAGAAAACGGCGGAAAAGGGTTTTGTCCTCACCGCTGGTGCTAATACCGGAAGTGCAAGTGACCTTAGAACTAGACCTGCCTGCGCCCATCATCTCGACTGGCAGCCAGTGAGCAGGAGCAAGGCCCAGCTCCGGGGCCTCCCAGCCTGCATGCAGGTGCACGTGTCCTGGACACTCGGCTCTGGCCTTGGCTCGGCCTTGGCAGTGCCCAGGGTGTGGGCTCCACCTCTCCACACAGCCCCTGGAAATGTCACACTAAGGAAGTGCCTCTCCCTGGTCCCATCATAGGCCCTGGCCATTTCCTCGGAAATTTTAACACCGGTTTAAAGATGAAAAATGTAAAAATTTCTTCCTTTGAGCAGTAACAGGCTGAAACGAAGGAATGACACGCACTCTGCAGGAGACCTGACGAAATGAGCATGCCCTGCTAATCTATTTCCAGCTGCTGCTCAGCTCTTAATGTACTTAGCACAGGGTCTCATCATGCCGTCCAGATGTTCTCTTGCCTCAGTTTCCCAAGTGCAGTAGCTTGGGACCCTAAACTGTCCCCATGCTAGGCTGAAGTGCCCTTTCGCCTTACGCTTTCTGCCCAGCGGCCTCTGCAGGCCGCTCATCCTCAGGTCCCAACTGCTGCTTCTGAGGTAGCCGCACAGAGCCCGCCCCGAGCTCGCCTGGCCGTGACCGCGGGGCCTGGGACAGCCCCTTGGAGCTGCGCGCAGTTGTGCAGTCCTTAAATGCGCATCAGGGAGTCCTGGGGCCGCCGTCTCCCCCTCGGCCACACACACCGTCACTCACACACAGTGCAGGAGAAAAGCTGAGCGTGGGCGCAGGCGAGCCAGGAGAACGCTGGGGGCCGGGCAGGGCGCGGCGCTGTCCTCCCCGCCACGCGTGGGCCGCTCCGGAGCTACCAGCTGTCCTCCTGCCGCGGTGTGGGCGCACTGCAGCGGTGCCCTGCGAGGCGGGCAAAGCCTCCGGCTCCGGGCGCAGGCCCGCGCCAGGGAGCGCCCGGCACTTGGGCAGCGCCCAGGCTCTGCTCACGGGCGGGCACCGGGGCCTGCGGTGCCGGCAGCTCTGCCAGGGGTGCACTA